CCTGCTCTATCACTTGCCTTCTGCAGTATTCTGCCCTTAATCTTTACTGTAAATAGGTCCAAAATCAGCAAAGTATACTCAAATTTAACCGTATGTATGATTGCATTTAGGATGTGCTCCATTGAAGCTAGGAAAAGACTGCCCAAAGAACTCTCACAATTGCTACAATGACAACTCAGCTATAGCTGGTCACTAAATGGTCACTGCTCCATTTAATTATACAACACCAGAAAATTTACATAATAGAGTGGAGGCTGAAGGAGCACTCTACTAAATTTCCAGATTGTTTATCCCTACATCACGTTCTCTGAAGCTTCAGAAAATGCATACAGACTCTAGCATTGCAAGGAAAGCTCAGGCTCTGTAAGGAATAAATACCAAGATGTACCACTATTTCATCAGACCTTCCAAAACACTCAAGAAATCCAGTGTCTCATTTGGCAGGTGAAGTGTGATTTTCCTTCTCAGCCCATTTTATCAAACATGAAAACACTAGTTTACAAATTCAATAGCACTGCACATTGCCTAGTCCTATAGCTGCTTCTGCCTAAATGTGAGGAGCATAGTGTGCTTTATGGGTCACTAGTACACAGGAAAGACAGCTGATCTTTCTTGCATTACTCATTGACCAAATGTACTAAACCAGCAATCAGATCTTGATCTTGTTTCCTTCATGTTTTACATCCTGCATCACAGTTTTTACATCCCATCTATGTTTTCTCACTGCAGGATACAGGTACCTGCTCTTGATGATAATTGTCTGTACTCAGAATCCGCCTCATGTCAGGAGAATAAAACCCAATATTATTCAGGCTTGGCAATAGTTTTGAGACTGGAAACCAAGAATTTGAAAGGGTTTTATTTTGTTTTGCTTTGCCTTTATTTAAGAGACCTTCATCACTTTCATTAAGAAGAATAAATCTGCCACAAAGCATTTTGAAGTGCAACTTCCCAAGATTAGGTTCTGATTAACACATTCTGGTTTTATAATAAGATGGATTTTTGAACGCCTTTAGTTTTAACAAGTTTGCGTCTTGCTCTTTTATGTTTCTTAGAGTTCAGTGGAAACCAGCAGAGTGTTTGTTAGTGGCATGATCATGCTGGCATTACCTATTTGTCTGTCAACATAATGCTCCCACTGGCTGTTGGCCTGAAATCTGTAGTTAATCTGTCACAATCCTTTCAAAATTCTTCCGTTCAAAGGCTGTTAAAAAGTACTTCATTTTTTCCAAACTCAGTGGGACTTTATATATGCTTATATTTTTTCCCAAGAAACCAAATACATTCTTCTCTAGTGTGATCTAGCTGCTTTTCAGAGGTATACAGAATCCATATCTCATAAATGGGTAATGTGCCTATTTTCTGATAGTGGATGTGTCTGCTGAAGTATTTGCACTGGATTATTATCAAGCTTTGAGTAAGAAGATTAAACAGACAAGAGCAGAGAAACTTCAAAGGCTGACCAAACATGCTTTGTGAGTTCTTATTCCACTGATCTGTAATGCCTGCTTTTGCCTTCCTATCATGAGCAATGAAAAATAAACCAGTAGTGCATAAAGTATTGTTTGATTGTAGTGGCTGAGCCCTAAATGCATTTGAGACGTGGGTGTACAATGCTTTTTTTTTTCAATATAGCAGCAGAGAATGGACTTCACTATTATAGGGTTTTCTAATAAATATTTGTCTGAATTCAGATATACCGTAGAGCTCTTTTTAGATACTACTTGCAAAAGCTTTCTTATCAGACGCAAATGAGGGAGAAAGTGTCAGACTTAAGATAGGTTTTGTTTGCTTGTTTGTTTGTTGTTTTTTCCAAATTGTACTTAACTCTAATGTTTCTGCATAAAGGAAATTAGGTAACAATAGAAAGCTGATTCTTTCACAGAGTACAGGGTAAAATAATCTATGATGACATTATATACAGTCAATCTGCTTTGCCATGTTATATTCTCAGTGTCAACTATCAATTAGATTTTGAGCTACTAAGTATGGTTTTCAAATCTGTGGGGTTTATGAAGGAGATCTGTCTATCCAGATCCTACTTTCTGCAGAGTCTGAGTCCTTGAGGAGGGAAGTTATTCAAAAAACATAACATTTGCATACACAAAATATTCAATGCATTTAAAATGCTAAAAAGAGTGGATTATTAACAAAAGCCCTGTGATGTTATTCTTTCAGAGCCATGATACTTATACAGTATACCTGAGTACCCCAAATGGGAGTTTGGTATAGACAAGTTCAGTATGTATGTACCCATGTAACAGACAACATGGGAATAAGCTGTAGAACAGCATGAAGCCTGGGCATTTTGTGTATGTGCACACAGGTTTAACCCAAATCTCTTTTTATGGCATATCACAAAGCAGTAGTGTCCATGCACACTGACAACAGACAAACCCAATACTGACTTGGAAGACCAAATGTGTTGGCTGTAATCATTAAGGCCTGACAGCACTACTGAGCCTCACCCAACCATGCAGAAGGCAGTGCAGGGATGCGCCTTACAGACCATGTCACATTTCATTCAGTCTCTTGAGTCAGTGCTTCTGGCAGAGGGTTTATTCAAAAAGACTGATTCTTTCATAGGGAAGGTGGCAGCAATATGTTACAATCCTAGTTCAGGAAGAAAACAGGAAATGCGGAATACAGTGTCAAATGTGACAGATGGTTTTATGTCAGTTGATTTCAAAACTACCACTGAAATGACGACTACTGAAAAGAGTAGGAGGCCTTCAAAGTGGCTGCAATAATTTAAAAAAATGAAATGTCTGTCAGGGAAAATAAGAGTGTATTTTACAGGAGGGGGAAATCTTAAGCCTTAAAAACTCAATGAGACTTGATTACGCAGAATGCTATCATCAATAGGAACACCCTTTAGGCATCTTACTTGATATCTGTACAAATCAAGCAACTGTGCAAGTCACATATCATTGCAAAATATGATATTCTGACCTGCACAATAGACGTGCTTTCCAAATTATAGAGGCTGAAGCAGCTACATTTCATCAGATACAGTGTCAGGCCATATTAGTCCTGTTACTCAGAAAATCCAAGAACAAAATGAAAGTAAAACTCAGGATGAGTGATTTAAGCAGCAATTCAACCAATGCAGCAAAACTTTCAGCACTGCTGATGACACTGTTGCAAAAGATTTCTGTCTGTGCTAGGACATGCAAAAGGAGAACAGTAATTTGAAATATTTCAGAAAATGAAGATATCAGTGTTCTTCGTGAGAATTATATTGCAGCTTACATAGATGGTGTCAAGCAATGTCTGTTAAGAACTGAGGTCAGGTAGTACTGCTCTTGAGAACTGTATCTTATGCCTGTTGGCAGCACTGTTTAACACATAATGTAGATCTTTATGCTGTGGAAATATTTGAAAATCCTGTCTCACATTGTTCATGAAGCAGATAAAGTAGTGACCTATATCAGGTGTGGACTAATAAATGATTTTACCTTACTCTGTGACAACCTGAGCCAATGTGATTTTTGCTTGGGAAATTGACCATAGGATTGAAATAAAGTTTTCGTGAATGATTGATCAGCTATTATTCCTTGCTGGTGCTTTCAGTCATTACTCTTCCATAGTATGCTTAGCTTACTGGATATTTAAATTGTGAGTCATCCCTACCTCCCGCCAGGGAGACTATAACAATTCTTTTTATGTTGTAAATGCATTTACTAGCATGTTTGCCAGTAGGGAGAGTTAAGGTAGTTTTCTCTTATTTTGGACTTCATGGAGCAAAATAAAGAGCTGGACAGGAGCTCATAAGTCAGCATATAAGAAAAATTCAGACCCAGCTGAGCCTCAAAACAGGGAATATAGGGGAATAAGCAAACATTTCATTCATTGTGTTGCAGAATGCTGTATTGACCAAGCCATTACACTCATCCAACCTTTATAAGTCATATTGATGGAGCATTTATCAGACAGAAACCTGCAGTTTTTTGTTAGTTTGTTTGTCTAGCCATAAATTTAGCAGGGTTTTCGTCTTCGTTAGATAGCCTCAGGTTTTGGCTGAGGAAGTCTTGAAAGTTCCTGTGCCATTTTCATCCTCATAGCTCTACAAATGACATTTCACTTTGGTAGGGAAAATTAAAACCAAGTTTAAATGTCCATTACTTGAAAAACAATTTAAGACTATGTTTTGCAACCTCATAATAATCAGTGTTTATCAGCAAGGCAGCCTTATTCATATAATTGAAATGGAAGGATGTTTAATATCTGGTATCTCTCAGCATTTCAACACATCACAATTAGTTGTTGGGTTTTGTATTGTACTAGTAGCATGATTTTGCTGCTGAGTGAGGATCAGGATACAGAGGAAGAGTTTACCAGCTCAGAAAGTTTGGAAATCCTTGGCTTGTGGCCACTTATGAACTACACACAATTCAGGATCATTAAATCTAATTGCCATGCTAATGCCACAGATTTTTAATTGCATTGCACAGACCTGTAGCTTTGTTCTAGTTCACTTATAATTCAGGCTTGAAAAAGATTATGAGCCTTGGCATCAAGAATTGTATTTGCAGTAGAAATGGTCCCACAGATCCCATTTGTCCTCAAGGTTAGTTCTGTTCCTCCTATTCCACCAATATGCCTTGGTTTGTGAATGTGATACCTCCTAATTTAAGGAGCCTGTCTCCTAGAATACCAATTTGATGGTTTAATGTGTTAATAAAAGCTGCCTCACAATATGGGTGTAGATTGGTCTGTCAAGCGAAAAAGAGAGGAAAATAATTTATTTATATATGTATGTATTCAATTATTCATGTTTATGAAACTTACATATATAAGTATATACATTTATGTATATGATCTTTTCAACAAAGTAACTTTTTCAAAAAAATCTACAAAAAGGCATTATTTGAGCTCCTTACTATTTTGTTTCTTTAAGTCACACAATATTCTGCTTTTCTACAATTCTTTTTTTTTACTATGTTGTACGTGCAGCTCAGCAAATACATCAGAATATGGTTTCTCTTTTTCTTTTTCAGGGTCAAAAGGCTTGGATAGAGAAGACCTTTTTAAAAAGAGAATGCATCTATATAATTGCCAACAACAAAGACACTAGCAGGTAGCATTTGAAACCTTTTCAATTTATTTGAATAGAAGATGGTTACCATGGGGGTCAGTGGAATTGGTCTGGATTTACACGGGTGTAGGTTAGGGTTACTTTTACTCATTGCTTAGAGGGAGAAGGTGATAGAGGAGCAGAAGTAAAAAAGATGTGTGTTCATGCTATGCAATCTGAAGCAGATACAAAGGAGCACAGAGAAGGCCAACACTGGAAGACAGGAGTGAGTAGTAGGGGAAAGCAGGTAGGGGTGAGACCAGAGAACCAAAGTGCGGCAAGTTTGCAGAGATTTTGAAAAACAAAAATCCCAGAATGAGCTCTGAGATAGATGAGGCAATGGAGAACAATACAGTCCTGATTCATGAACCAAAACATGCCTGATCTCAGCATTCTGGATGTTATATTATACTCCTGTATAGTACCATAGTACAGTACTATAATTCTAGATGTAACATGTAGCATTACTGCTATTATGTTATCAGTTGGCAAACTGTGGTCCATTCACTGGTGGAAGAGAGTTCAAGATGCCTTTTCTAATGCCCCTCTGTTCTCTGTCTACATGATGGGCAACAGAGAAACAAAAGCAGGCCCCTCACAGCTACTACTTTACCCTAACCTGGGAAACATACCTACATGGTTCCTTCCTCCCAGAGAAGTGAAGTGAGTCACTTGGTCCTTAAGCATTAAGAAACACCTGTGGCCTGGTACACCTGAAAAAAGGGGCTTGTTACATTTGTCTTGATACAGTTCATACAAGATGCTTCTGTGGCTCTCCTAACATTGTATGTGTGATATACAAAATAGGTAGATATGCAAGTCAGAGATTGTGTGTATAGTCTAAAATCTAATTCTTCATGCCTATGGAAGCTTAACTTATCTTTTTAAATGGATATTGGAGATCCTGTATTCATTATTGCTCCAAATTCTAACTTTCAGGTGCTGCTGTGGCCAGCTCATTAGTCAACATATTCCACCCCCTCCAAGTATAACAGCTAACAAAAATGGAGAGGAAACAAAGCAGTTGGAAACGCATCCAGAAAAATGGTCTGTCAGTAAGCACACCCAAACATGCCCAACAGATGCCTATGGAAATCTTGAATTCCAGGGAGGTGGGCATTCAAATAAGGCCATGGTAAGGAGCAGAGCATATGCTGTAGTGACATATTCATCTGTGGTCAGGATCTTAGCTCACTAAGGGCCAGCTCCTTTGAAGTCAAAGAGAGTCTTTCTCTGTACCTCAGAGAGCTTTGGACCAGACTTCTGATCCTAAATATTTAGGGACAGTATTATGCTAAACTGAAAAACATCTTATCATAATGCTTAGATCCTCACCTGGTTAAAATTGTCATAGTTCACTGAAGTTGATGAAGCTTATGTCATTTACAGTATTTTAATCACATATGCACTCACTGCTGGCATGAAATGTGTTTATTTGTGGCCCAAGCATCCAAGTCAAAGTAGGTATAAATGCAGCAGATTTATTTTACCAGATGTATAAAAGTGTTTAAGTGAATGTAAACTTGAAAAGCTGAAGATTGGAGTCCTGCATTCCTTAACGATGCAGGCACAGCATAAACACCAGGGCTAGGGACAGAAATTACACGTAAACCAGGATAAGTGCTCAGAAACCAGTTCAAATCTGTAACACAACAGAAGTTCATTGCACATAAACCACTTTCAAAATGGCTAAAACTGGTTTAAGATAAACCTAGATGGATGTAGTATCAGACTTAACTGATTTATGTTAAGTCTATTTATTGAACTTCTGTCCCAGATCCCCTCTAAATTCAAGTTAACTCACAGCATCCCAGCATCCCAGGATGCTTTGCGCCTTCCCTGCAAGCCCTCCCTCCAGAGCCTTGGCCCAAGCAGTCTGCTTCAGCTGAGCAAGGAGGTGTGCTCTAGTACCCCTGGCTTCTGGCCCGGGTCACTGCGGGCAAGTGGCTGCATTTCTGGAATCAAAATCAATGTCTGTTCATTTGCTTATCAGTTCAATCTACGCAGCTTAGATTAACCTACGAAAATTGAATTGACGCAGCCTCAGGCTTTTTGACTGACTGTACTTAGTCCAGCAGTCCAAGCTATCTGTCCACACACACCTCTTCTCACTCCTGCTCCACTCCTAGCATCTGTCCCTGTACCTGTTTGTTCCATGGCCTAGGAGAAAATATACATGGGTCTCCAGCCAGGTATGTAGGTTGCTACTTCTTTTTGATAGTCAATCCAAGATTCTAGGAACCAAAGAAAACACCTGTTCCCTTTCATGGTGCTAATTTTCCACAATTCAAATTCCATATGAGAATTTTGTCCCACATTTTCCCACCCCAAAATGTTTTAAAGCTTTGTTCACATAATCAATGGCACAGTCACAGCTACCCAGGAGTGGAGGAGAGGGCCTCAGACTGTCTAATTCTTTTTCTTTGTAAGCAATATAGAAACTTTCACGCTATGCTTTTTAAAAAAGATTAAAACCTTTTCTTATTGACATTAGATTTGTGTAACATAGGTGTATGATGGTCTGTCAATGGCAGATATAACGAAGAAAATAGACTGACGAAGACTGCTACAAATTATTTTGCAGTATATCCGTCTGTCATATGACACCAAGCCAGATTCGCTGCTTCATCTCATGGTGAAAGACTGGCAACTGGAACTCCCCAAACTTTTAATCTCTGTCCATGGGGGCCTTCAAAACTTTGAATTACAACCTAAATTGAAGCAAGTATTTGGGAAAGGCCTGATCAAGGCTGCCATGACAACAGGGGCCTGGATTTTCACTGGAGGAGTTAGTACTGGTAAGAACTGACCACCCTCTAAATTTGACTTATCAACTGAATGTTTTCAGCTCCCATTGTTTCTCATTAGTAACCCATGCATGAATGTTGCATAGGCTACAGTCCCATGGACCACTGGGGTTTTTTACATGTAAGCACTGCAGCACCAGGTGCTTTGAAAAGTGCCCAGCACTGCAAAGGATGCAACTGTATATGTGGCACGTCAGCACGAAAAAATAGTTCTTTAACTAAAACACCTCAGATGTGCTTTAATTCCAAAGAGTACTACTGCAATTTTCTGTGCACTGATGTGCATTTCCCCACTTATACAACTGCACGCAGCACAGTGTAGTGTGTCAGCTCATGTGTGGAGCAGACTCAATTAATCAAGTCTGCTCTGAAGCAGTGGATCTCCAGCATGTTGCAGAACAAAAGGTACATGTATAAATGCCCATTATGATCATCCAGCCCAACCTCCTTGTAACAGAGACAACAGGACTTCTATGAATTAACTCCTCTTTGCATTACAGTGCATCTTGGCAGATTATCCAGTATTCATTTTATTTATGTAGAGTCCACCAGAAACATAAAAAAATTGTTCCAAGTTAATCTCTGCCCACCCTCCTACACTCCCATCCCCTCCCCATCAAAAAATTACATCTTAGTTCTTGTCTGAATGTGTCTGACTTCAACTCCCAGGCATAGGGATCTTGTTATAACTGGTCACATCTACACAAGACACTGACTGCCCAGTAGCCCATGACTACTGCACTGTAGCATTGCATGGTAGGAAGCGTGACATGACACTACTGCAGAGTAGTCACAAGCTACTGTGCAATCAGCATCATGAAAAAGGTGTTCCTTGGTGTAACTGTGCAGTAACTTTGGTTACTGTTCAGTCATTTAGCACTGTTTTATACAAGTACTAAATGACTGAGCAGTAATGACTGCGCAGTCACCATCTCATGTAGAGGCAGCCTTTGTCTCCTAAATAATGAAAAGTCCTCTGGTCTCAGATTTCTGTTCCCTGTGCAGGTGCTTACAGACTTCTTGTTAAGCTTAACAAAAACATGGATCCACTTTGAATCCTCCGTTGTAAAGCAAGTTTTCCAAATCTTTGATTATCCTCATGGCTCTGCTCTGGACCCCTCCAGTTTTTTCAGTTTCCTTTAATTGTGAACACCAGAACGGTGTTCCAGGAACGGTGCTAAATATAGTGGGACTCTAACCCCTCCACTTCCTCTCAGGGGTCCCTGATGTACATGTCCAAGGATCACATTAACTTTGTTTGGGCACAGCATTTCACTGAAAGTTCATGTTCAGCTGGTTATCCATCATGATCCCAAGTCTTTTTAAAAGTTCTTGCCTGCTAGATAAGCATGGCCTATATTCTTTGTCCCAAGGTGCATGGCTTTACATTTAGCTGCACTAAAACACATTGTTTGCATCCTCTCATCTTACCAAGTGACCAGAAGGCTCTGTAAACTTTGTTTGATTTGAAAAAAAATTATCAGTGATGATTTTATGTTTTTGTCTAGGTCACTAATAAAAACAGGGTTTCATAGTGCAGGGCAAGGAACAGTCCCCATAGGACCCCAGCTAGGAAAACACATTGATTATTCCCTATTTGCAGTTACATTTTGAGACTTGTAAGTTAGCAAGTTTTTAATCCATTTAATGTGTGTCCTGTTGATTTTGAAGGAAATGGAAACAAATTGGATGTCATTTTCAACCATAATATTTTAAGTATCCAATTTCTTTAACTACAATGTATCTTTATAGCTGGTTATTTTGTATGCAAAGACACTCATCCTAGATTATTATGACTGTAGGCAGACCTCTGGAACTGCATGGAGCCCCTCTGCCATGTGTTTGTAAGCGTTTTCTCATAGCACCGCCATAACACAGAGATGCTGATTGCTCTTAATGAGACCTATTTTATGTAAAGAAATGTTTACTTCTTTTTTACTATTAGTTTTCTGCCTTGAAAGGACTTTAAAAATTACATGTGCTTAAATTGGCACGCTGTGACTAAAATAACTGAGTTCAGTGGTTAAGTCTCTGCAAGACTTGGACCTAAGTGACACCACTGTGGTTTCATGCAGGGGTTTGCTCCCACACATTACAAAATAAGATCAGGGCCTAAAAAGGCAATTGGGATACAAATGGCTTCTCTTTCAAGACTCTACTATTGCAAAATGTTTTATAGAAGATATCTGTGCTACAGATTGCAGTATAGGGTAGCAATACCAGAAACAGCTTTATACAAGCTACTGGCTGTATTTGGGAGTACTGGCTGCAGTCCAGCCTCAGCAGTAAAGAGCTTAGTGAGGGCTAATTTACTTAGCCAAGAGGCAGGTATCAAACTATTTGCCAGCATTTTCCTTTTAAGCCTTAAAAGGGTCAAGAATGAATTTAACTGCATTGTGCCTATAGGTGTAATTCGCCACGTTGGAGATGCCCTGAAGGATCATTCTTCCAAGTCCAGAGGACGCATATGTGCCATAGGAATTGCACCATGGGGCATTGTAGAAAACAAAGAGGATCTGATTGGGAAAGATGTAAGTTTCTTCTCTAATAAAACTCCTCTGTGGTCAGATATTATTCTTGTTGACCATAGAATAAAGGACATGGTTTATCTGTTTTCAGTTTGTGCATGTTTGTGTTTTCACTGTGTCCAAAATGCATCAAGAGATAACGTTAATGTGTGTTCTGGAATTAATTCCTTTCAGTCATGTTAGTTGGACTCAAAATGTTTTGCTGAAGAAAGAAGTTAGGCAATACTAACTGGGTGGGGACTCTTTCTCATTTATAGAGGGTAAAGAAAGGACCCTGTAGGTGTTAACCTTAATCCCAGGAAGGAGAAAATAGGAAACACTGACATAAGGATTAATGGATGATGGTTAAAACAGGGGCTATATGAATTCATGGTGATAGATCTATTCATGGCTATTGAACAGAACAGTTGAAGATGTTTCCTCTGACATCTCTAAACCAATAATGATGGATGCTAGGAAGAGTATGGAATAGGGGAAAGATCACTCCAGTTTGATGCTCTCCCTCTGTAGCATAGATCCATGCCACAGTCGGAGGCAATTTACTGGGCTTGATGGAGTACTTGTCTAACCCATTATGGCACCTACATTCTCATGATTTAAATCTTGAAACTCATAATATTGCACATGACCATCTAATATCTCAGGTGCTTACTGTTCATGACCTACAGGACAATTCATGCAAACTGAGAAGCATGCATTGTTTTCAGGGCAGCTAATGAAGTAATGATTGCTTTAGAGATGCTTGTATTTTTGGTTGCTGTTGAGGAGAAAGGGTTTTAGAAAAAGAGTATTATGTATTCGTTTTATTTGCTGTCTGGTCAACAAAAATAAGTACAGTGTATAAAGCTAAGCAGATCCAATTTTGTGAAAGGGGAATGGGGTGAAGGGCTTCTTTTGATACAGGGGAAAGTCTCAGGTTCTAACACCCATGTCATTAATCTTGGTTAGTAGATGATGAAGGCCCCTGCGTCTGTACAGAATGTGGGTTTATTGTGATTGGGCACTTGGTTGTTGAGTGTGAATATTGTGAGCTCCAGGAGTTAAAGAAGGGGAATTCTTTTTTAATGGAGGAAGCAAATACATAGTACAGTGATTATGAAGAGTGGATTAATAATTGACAAGGGACACATGAGGAAGCACAAAAATGTGACTCCCATTCTCTGGGGAATGTCAGGAAGTCACTTGGCTGTGAATAGCTAAAGAGAGAGAGAGTCTCCTTTATACCATACTGTACTCTGAAGGCCTGCACTGCTAGATTCTTTCTGTGATAATGTACATGCTGGTATTGGGGACTGTGGCAGTGAATTTGCAACACATGTATTAGTAGCAAATAAAGCTATCTCTCCCCCTCTTTCACTCATTGTATACTTATCTATTTGACAGGTGACAAGAGTTTACCAGACAATGTCAAACCCTCTCAGTAAGCTCTCTGTGCTCAACAGTTCTCACACACACTTCATCCTAGCAGACAACGGCACATTGGGCAAATATGGAGCTGAAGTTAAATTGCGACGTCAGCTGGAGAAACACATCTCCCTTCAGAAAATTAACACACGTAAGTGCTGTGGGAATTTTCAAACAATCTGTAAACACAGTATCTTGAAGGAAGTGTGATTAAAACAGTTAGTGTTAATTATAAAATAAAATAATTGAAATAATAAATTTAATATTGTGGGATTGTAATTTGATTTTTTTGCCACATGTTTACTGAAATGTTTAATTACACCAATGTAATTGGAACATAAAATATGCTTCCTCATTATGAATACTGAAGACCTGATTCTTAACAGGATGGAATATGCAGAAGAGAAAGGATCTAAAATGGGAAAGAGAAGTTGAGAAATAATATGGAGAAAATTCAAAGACATGAGACTTTAAGGGAAGGGAGGGGGCAAAGGCAAAGGAAGATGAAGGTATTTGTCTGCTACCAGACAGTGTTCAAAGACATCATTTAATGCCCAGCAGGGACAGATATTTCATCTAATTCATATTTACTAGCATTCTGTGACTGTTGGTAGTTCCTGTTTCCAAGAATTTGTGCCATCACTTTATATTTGTTTTATATGTATTCTTTCCCTCAAGTTTCACTGTACATTTCATGCTCAAAATTCTCTCCTAATTAATCAATCAAAATTTGGCTATTTAATAAAGCCACTTCCAGAAGCTTTGGTTTAAGATTTTCATTTCTAAAGTGTTGTGCTCTTTAGTCCTTCCCTTTCTAAATCATTTATCAGATATATTTCTATAATTTCTCCTGAGACAGTTCTTTGCTAGTTTTTCTTCTCCATTAACTCTTTTCTACCACCCTGATTACTGAAAATCTTAAACATCTTAAAGAACTAAATAAAAGAACACAGCTAAGTTTTCATGTGATTGTGCAACAGTAATGATTTTTATTTTAAATAAAATAATGATTACACAATGGTTCAAAGGGGCAAGGTGGATATTTACAACTGCATCCAGCACAAAAGAAAAAGTGGCATATTATTTAAAGATTTTCCTGCTTCCTCTATGGCGTATCATTTGTTTGAGTCTCTCAGGTTTGTTATCAGAAGACTAAGAGCATAGAGACAAAACATTTTAAGTATCTGTCCTGTATTTGACAATTTTACAAAATCCAGAAATGGATTTCTGAGTTCTTTCAAGTAACTAGACTTGGAAAGACTCATAGATTTCATAGACATTAGGGCTGGAAGGGCCCTTGCGAGATCATCTGGTCCAGCCCCCTGCTCCATTTTAATCAGTAAATATTAATGATAATTATTTTAACCTACATTCAGAAATCAAGCCTAAAGCATCTGTGTTGTCCACTAATAACCAAAACATTCTGGAAATAGTTACCCTATTGCTTTTCTCCTATTGATTTTTTCCTGTAGCAGACAGAATGAACTGAACAAGGCCTGAGCAGTGGTTCATGTTTTTTAGTACTATGATCTGTGTGTGTGTTTCTCTTTCAAGCATTGTACACACTTATAAAGGGGATAATCTAACTATATTTTTGTTATCTTGGCCATCAGCAGACACTTATCTGCAGGTGTATGACACAAGAGAAGTGTAGTACTCATAAAACAAATCATCAGTTCAGGAGAAATGGAACTAAAGGCCTAAGAGGCAAGACATGTTGTGTAAATTTCTTTTATAAGCTTTGGGGGATTTGTTTGTTTTGTTTCTTGCTTAACTTGTGGTTTTGCCCTCTGAAGACCAAAGCTGTTAATCTGAAAATGTACAGAAATTAAGAGCATGTTGTGTGCAGGGCTTTGGTCCACTTACTACCACACCATAAAAATATTACCACCATAAGTGGCACTGATTGGCACACTTGTTGAAAGTTTTGCCAGGAATGGGTAAGGATTTAATGGCCATAGAGGCTGCACCAGTCTCTGTGCTCCCTCCAGCTCGGAGACGGGACATACTGACAAAGCTATTGGCTGGCCAGTCTACAGGAAACTGGTGCTGTCCAATCCATGCCATGCCTGATCTTCAGAAAAAGGAATTAAATTGACAGGACTGAAAATGTAGGTATCTTTCATAAGTTCTCAATTAGCTTTACTAGAAAACTAGAAAAGTGTAACCTTTTTATGTTAAGTTGGTCAAGAATTAAAAACTAAGTCAACTTGCATGTGATGGCATTGGCTTATTGGCTTTACATTTTCTCATGCTGTAAGTGATCATTTGACCAAGATTGCAGTGACCATGTGACCTGTGGGCTTCCCTTTGTCATCCTATGCCTGGAGATCATAGTGAGGCAGGGACAACAAAGGGATGCTCAGTTGTCATCTCGTGCATCGACCAGACATTTCAGTTTGACAAGGAAGAGAATAAGCTTACATGTCTGTCTTAGAAGAAAGCATAGGCAAATGTCATCTTCCGAAAGACATGGTGTATAAGTAACAAACAAGAGACAAAGTAGCAAAAAGACATTAGGTGAGAGACATCACAAAATTAACTGGGCCAACAGGTTCATAGAGTAAGCAGAGCTAATCCATTTGTAAATCTAACAAGATACCCGTCTAACTGAGGCTGCATACACATAATCAAATGACCTGGGAGAATTTTCGTGGTAGAAAAAATTACCAGGAGATGCCTGAGCAGACATTTGAATGCTGAGCCCTTGAAGAGCAGAGAGCTTGCAGTGCTGACAGGGATGGATTAGCCCTTTAGTGGACCCTAGGCAAACAAACTCTTGGGCCCCTACTTTTTTCACTCAATTACAATATGTAAAATAAGCACAACTGGGCCCCTCCTTTATTTAGGGCCCCAGGCATGTGCCTAGTTTTCTTATGTGTTAATCCGGCCCCGAGTGCTAATGCTCCCAGGAGGCATGTATCCATACCTCAGCATGCTCAGAAGTATTCCTCAATCTGCCAAAAGACAGAACAGCAGCACTACACAAGGATTTAGGCATGCCTGAATTTTATGCGCATTATCTTAATGCACATTAAGGTGATTTAGGCTTGCATCTACATGTGCGTGCATTAAAGGACATTAATACCATGTGCATGGACTGATGTGGGAATAAAGTTAACCCCAAATCAGTCCATACACAGTGTTAACGTGCTTTAACGCATCTACATGTGTGTTAATGTGTTTTAGCTGTTTACACCTACATTTACCTAAAATCACCATTTGTAAAGCACTTAATAATGCACCTTAAACTGTGCTAAAGTGCCTTAAATCAGCACATGTAGACATGCTCAAGGTAGCCCTGATTGACTGACCAAGACTGCTCGGCATCTGTGTCTCCCTGCAGCTCCATGTGGAGTCCCACAGGGAAGGGGGCATGTTCTGGTCCCTGCTTGGCTGGATCAGCAGAATCCAGTGAGCAACACAGTCTCGGGGGGTCGGGGGGAGGGCAGGGGAAGCAGAAGCAAAGCATCCTGGGAAGCTGGAGGACAGTACTGTGGCTTCTGTCAGGAGAAACTGAACGTGTTATGTTGCCTGAGATTGCAAAACAGTGAATAGTAAGTAGAAGACCCAAAGTAAGCAAGCTTACATGAAGATGGGTTGGGAGGCATTTTGCTTCTGTTCTTTGGAGCAGTGAAGCAGCATAGGGATATTTATCAAGTTATTGCATAGTATGGCTAACTCCATCTTTTTTCCTGAAACTCTCAAACTGTTATGGCCTACACTGAAGCCATAAATACATACAATGCATGTATTCCCCTCTCTCTAATGAACCCTGACACTGTTGGAGTTTAATAGTATGTCTGATTTGTTCTTTAGGACTGGGACAAGGTGTGCCTGTAGTTGGGCTCATAGTTGAAGGAGGTCCCAATGTGATCTCAATTGTGTTGGAATGTCTGCGAGAAGAGCCCCCTCTCCCCGTGGTGATCTGTGATGGCAGCGGACGAGCATCTGACATTCTGTCCTTTGCGCACAAGTACTCAGAAGAAGGGGGGTAAGATTTTACAGGAGCTGCTAATGCCTCAAGGCATGGATAGGGCGATAATTGTGCTGTCTTTAATCCAGGCTTCTATACTTGTTAAAACAAGAAAGGGGAAAAATGTTCCTAAAAATGCTGCCCTGTGTTTCACTGGCACTAGCTATCAGTTGGATTCCTGCACAAGTGGTGGTGACTAAAAGTTGTTACCACTTGATGGGATATTTTGGCCCATTGAAATGAGTTGAGTCCACCCCTTATTTTGCAAGTATCAGGCCATGTAAATATATTTCCCCTAGCAGTGTCTTCAAGTGCAATGTGCTGCTCTGCTGGTCCACTTCCTAAACTGGAAGCTGTGAAGTCATGCACATGCAGTGCTCTGGATGAATTAATTAGCACTGCTGAATGACCTCCCTGAAGCATTGTTTGACTGTGATTAAATTGGTTCCAGTTTAGGACACAGACCCTCTGGAGCAGTGCAGTGTGCTTAGTGTACTCTCCTGGTAAGTGGGAAAGGTGACTTTTTGTACTCTTTCAGGATAAGAAAGGAATTGAATCCACATCCCACTTCCTGTATGAGTTTTCTCAACACTAGTTTACTGAAAGGGTCACTATCACAGAAGAGTGAACCATATGATTTAAATGTGGTTTTCAATCTTACATAGACACCTGCAATCAGGAGAGAAGTGGGGTTTGAGAAATACCCATCCCTTTGGTATTTTCTGTTGGCAGGTGTAGGCATTTTCCTGCCCTGTCTGTTCCTGTTATGAATCTCAAAACTTGGGGCTCCTAATGCAGGGAGCCTGTTCTAACGTGCTGTAATTCCAGTGCATAAGAGAAGACTTGATTAATTAACATGCTCCAGCAGCCTCCAGCATCATGTGTATCAGCATCCGTGTGCTGAAAAATGATGGCAGGGAGCTTTGAACTAAAGCTCATTCAACATACCCCCACATGCCTTCCACAGCACGTGTATAAATGCTCTGGGGGCCTAAGACTCACATTCAAAGTATAAAGAATGTAAAGAATGTACCTAAGTAGCGCTTGTGAATTCCTTGCCCAGTATTCAGCACTGCCACCCCTAAGTCCATTTTTATTTCTGGCCTTCAGTGCTTACAATATGTATTACTTTTTACACAGTAAAAATCTAAACCCATCAATTTACTGAAGCTGCTAATATTTTTGATTCAGCATCTTATTACTGACAGTTTTACCCTCATTTCCCTATTTTGAATACAAGTTCTGTTTTTTTCTTCAGCCATGCTTTCAGTCTCCTCAAATATAATTGAAGTAACTTATCAGAAATCAGTCTACCTGATACCTATCTGCTGTATGGCTGTCTCTTCCAGTGAGTGCAACACTAGGTCTGTTTTTCCCATCAGATAACAATGGTAAGATAAGTGTGATGAGGCTAGAGGGCTAAAGCTCAATAATGAGGAATCTTTGGAATCCCTAGAAAAAATAACTTTCTGATGAGTTCTGAATTTTACGGAAGTTAGCAGCTTCAGCATTCTCATTGCTCTCTGAATGCCTCCCTGGAATATTTGACATTTTCTTGGAAACAAAAGTATTTTATGAAAAAAGTGGTAGAGGTTAGAGGGCTCACATTTCATCTTGCTTTAACAAGTCAAACCAAATCATTAAAAATTTTCTGAAGTGGTTTCAGATGGATCTTTTTTTTATTTGATGTGTTAATAGGCATATAACATGAGCTTCTAGGTACCCTGGCAACGTTTAAGATCATAGTCCACATACAAATCCAATATAGCAGCCATAACACAATAATTTATTATTATAAATTAAATCTCTTATTCCGGAGGCCAGATCTGGAGACCAGATCATGGGGGTTGGTAGCTCACCCATGTCAAAAATTTCAATTACAGTCTACAAGAGAAGAAAGCAGATGGAAACAATGGTCTGAAAGCTTTTCAAGTTGGAACAGGCAATGATGCATAGACCATAAAGTGAAGACGATGATTATGACACAAGGTTATAAAAAAAAAAAAATTCAAATTAATCTTCCACAGTGAAGTCGGGTTCAACTAGTAGAAATTAACATGCTGGCAGCAAAATATCTTTCATTCCACTTTGTCTAAAATCCCATTCCATCAGGTGAATACAGGAGGCTTTGCAGTATTATGAGGTGAAGTTAGTGGTCTTGTGAGACATCCTGTTGAGATCCTTAGAGACTGAAATCCTTGATTCATCCTCACAAGTAGGTATATAATGGGTGCATCTATACATGCACTTTACTGGTGAGTTGACTAATTAGCTCCACAGTAAAGCATCACAGTCTAAACATGTGCTGGTATTAGGGCATAGTAAATTAATTAACTCCGCCATAGGATAGTACTGTCAGGGAAAGTACTGTCCTATGGTGGCATAATTTACTCTGCTGAAATACACGTGTAGATGGTGACAGAGGCTGGCTGGGGCACAAAGTTGCTGAAGTGCAGGGGCTGCCTTCTGCCTAGCCCAACACTTCAGCACCTTCACGCACCAGTCAGCCCCTCTGCCACCCAATGCTGCCACCTGGAGCCCAGGGCTGCTGTGCTCCAGCCCGAAGTGCTGCAGTCCCAAGCTCATCTGTAGATGCTGTGCCCAGGAGCAGCTGACTCTAGCACGAACTGTGACAGAGTTTGTCACATCACCTTAATGGCACATGTAGATGCAGCCAATATGTAGCAGCAATGAAAGGTCCCTGCACTGCTCTGCTTTAATACCCTTTACATCTCTGATTGAAAAGACCCCTCCCCCCCATGTCCTTGCAGTCTTTTGGCCTCAGAATTAAGGTGCTCAGGAGCCAGTTTGGACCTGGACCTCTTTTGAAGTCTGTTAACTCATTTCATTAATCCTTAATTTTACAATGATCAAATCCCCAGATTGTGAGTAGATTACAGATTCTTAAGTGAAGACACTTAACTGGTATTAAAAAATGTTTATTTCTAAATTGTGGCATAGAATAGATTATTTCTGGTCATTTCTTCCCTGATCTTTGTTCTTTTTTCTTTCTCTTTCCATTTAGGGTAATAAGTGAATCTCTGAGAGACCAGCTTCTAGTCACTATTCAGAAAACCTTTAACTACAGCAGGAACCAGGCTCATCAGCTGTTTGTCATTCTCATGGAATGTATGAAGAAAAAGGAACTTGTAAGTGTCATAAAGGTCATTCACAAAAGACTTCTCTGTAATGGTATAGTGATTCCCAACGAGGATGCCAAAAGATCTTTTTAAGGATGATGGGGAATGCTGTCAAATATTAGCACTGTTTGGTGTGCGAACACCTATGTATAATTTATAAAGTAAACAGAGATTTCAAATAGGAATCCATAATGTCAAACCCTCCTTATTCTAGTGTTTTTGAGTTGTCTGCAAAGAATTTCTCTACTATTTTTCCAAAGTCAAAAAACCAAGTGAAGACCAAGCTGGCAATTTCCAAGGGGTCCCTTGAGTCTAGCTAGCAACATGTGTCTTGAGTCTTAAAAAGCTGAAATCCACTGCTACAGTACAACACTGCCCCTCCTTTTAAATACCATTCTCAGATTTTTACAACCTATCTTTTTTGTAGAGTGCTATAAATGTTGCATTGTGTAGTGATTCACAAACATACATAGATCAGATACAATGGAGGGTGGAAAGATAATTGGAGAAAGGATTTCCAAAAGAAAAGAACTCCAAGGGGCCATTTGAATGAGGAGTGGGCTGGGCCCTTATTTGTTCAACATTTTCAGCAATGACCTGGAAATCGAGGTGCACAGTGAAATCTCCAGGTTTGCAGAAGACACTAAATTATTCTGGGTGGTCAGATCCCAAGCTGATGGAGAGGGTTTGCAGAAAGATCTCACCAAGCTAAATGAATAGGCAAAAAATTTGGTAAATGAACTTTAGTGTCAACAAGTTCAAGGTAACGCCCCAGGGGAAAAATGTATATGTACACAATGCATATTGTTCTGAACTATCTGTTATGACTCAGGAAAGAAAGAGACCTTGGAGTTGTTGTAAATTATTCTCTAAAACTATCAGCTCAGTAGTGACCAAAAATCCAATTAAATGTTGAATATCATTAAGAAGGGAATGGAAAACAAAACAGAGAAAATCATCATGCCGCTATACAAATCCAGGGTGTGCCCAGATTTTGAATGGTGAATAGTTCTGGTCCCCACATATCAAAAAGGATGTAGCAGAATTAGAAAAGGTACAGTTAAGGGCAACCAAAATGATAAGGAGCCTGAAGCAGTTGCCAGACCAGGAGAGACTAAAACAACTGGAACTTCAGTTTGAAAAAGAGAAGCTCAGGGGGCATATAATAGAGGTCTGTAAAATCATAAATGGTGGGGACCAGGGACCAAGTGAAACAGGGAACTGTTGTTCACCAAGTCCCAGAATAGCCCTTAGAACTAGGAGGCACCTGCTGAAATTAATAGGTGACAGGCTTATAACTAATAAGAGAAAGTACTTTTTTATGCAATGTGTAGTTAACTTGTGGAATTCATTGCTGCAGGAGGTGATAGAAGCAGATAGAATAGTCAGATTTAAAAAGGGACTGAATAAATTCATGGATGATAGATCTATTAATGGCAATTAAACAGAATGGCTGGAAATGTTTCCTCTGGCATCTCTAAACCAATAAATGGTGGGTATGGAATAGGGGATAGATCACTCTAGAGATATCTGGTTTGGTGCTCTCCCCATATAGCACCCACTTCTGCCACTGCTGGTGGCAGAATACTGGGCTACATGGACCATTGATCTGACCCAGTCTATACTACTTATGTTCTTATGAGTCTTCTTGCTCATTCCAATAGGGAGTCATTTGTTTTGCACTTCATTATCAAGCAGTACTCTTTTGCTTGCTTGAAATGTCTGCTTAGTCATTGACACACTATAAACATGTCATCTAACATAAACTGGCATTATGTGCTGAGAAGTGTCACTAAAAACAGAGGACATGCATGTTCTTTATTTTTAACTTCAGATTGCTTGATTCAGGCTTGCCATGGCAATTTTAAATGTGCTAACTGCACTTTTATTATGAGAGCTTAGCGTTGCAAAGATAAAATGAATACAGACATTTTGACCCAGACCTAATCCTGAAGTTTATACATATGATCCTATTTAGCCCTTTGTTAGACTGAAGCAAAGGGACTGCTCATAGACTTAGATGTTAGTCATTGTGTGTAAAGGCAGCAGGTTCCATCTCCTGCTTCCTGCCTATATAGATGGCACTGGCTCTTCAGTGATGGGTTTGCTTAAATACACTCAGGAAAGAACATTAGAACTGGGTTCAATTAATAGGTGCCATTGAGAGGAAGATTACATGAGATCAGTTCTGCCGCCTTCATCATAATCAGCAAGAGCTGCATCTGTGTAACTGAGCTCTGAGTTTCTGGTGTGTGTCCGCATCAAAAGGATGCTTGCGTAGTATTGATATGCATAGCACAACAAAGACACCACTTCAGACTTGATTACACAAACACATTACAGAGCCCAAGTCAACATCATTATATTAATCAGCATCCAAACACCCACCAGGAAGCCTTCTCAGAATCCTGGAGTCGCACATTATACAAGTTGTCTTTTTTATATAATCTGCCTCCAACAGTGAAAGCATAAATCAATGAATCATTTGTCATTCCCTTTCCCTGCTGCCCCCAAAAACTGTAAGTTACAGAATGGGCATTTAGCAATTAGAGTAAATAATGGGAATTATGAGTCCAATTTTATCAGCTTAAATATTAATCCTGATGGCCCAGTTTGGGGATAAAGAGCAGCAAACAGAACATCCAGAAATCCAATTCATCAAATCCCTCCACCAAATGAATGTCATGTTCAGCATTGCCAGCTCTGTTCTCTGTTATATTATAATACCCCTCTCATTAAATACAAAACAGGGTAGCAAAGACCTTGGAATTATAATATAGAGATGTAATGAATTTTAGAGACCTTAGCTTCCTTTTCCTGCTATACAGCTAGGCATTAGTATTAGCATCTTAAAGACCTGATATTTTCCTCTAGATTCCAGACTTTAGCTGAGGCTCTTGCTTACATGTGACACCATGAAAACTGTTCAATGTTGTATATGGCCTTCAACAGCCACATTTAATGTGATCCCATATTCTGGCAGCTAGACAAGCACTCAGTCCTGTAATGTGAATCAGTTCAGTGAACTGGGCCTATGAAGCTTCTTGTCGTGTCGGAGGGCATGTCAAAAAAATACTCACCCTGTATCCCTGATCTACCAATCCAATCATGGGGCAGGATTTCTAGGACTGGAGACAGGACTGAAGCGGAAACCTGTCCCACACTTGCACAGGATTTGTGGGGGTACACATAGACTGTGCTCCTCTAGAGACTGGCCCTCTGTCACTCAACATTCACAGTTCTGGCTCCAGGCCATGACTTTTCATTTTTTAATAGTTATCTCAGTTGGCAAGGAGACAGCTGCATAAATTTCCATAAACTTTAACATAAAAATTAACTGCTTAAATGCTAGAAGAGCAATTTCCTGCTGGTGTCTTAGTAGTTTCCACTATATCCCAAAAGTGTTTTCTTTTAAACATGTAATAATTCATTTTCAGAGGGACATATTGTTCCTAATATCAACCTTCCCCTGTTGCTTGGGGAGTTCAGCATTTGCTTTCATGAGAAAAGACGGCATTTCTGTTTTTATCTCAGATTTTTCAGGTTTTGATGTTGCTTAGTTCCCAGATTCCATTTTTCCTAAAGAAAGGCCACATTTTGGCATTATTGTTCATTTTTTTTCTTTATGCTTACTCAAAAGAGCTGAGTAGAAACTGAATATTCAAAGTGTTCAACCATACACAAATACTATTTTCTATATCATTTATAATGATTCTACATTATATAGTATTACTATGTAATATTATAACCATATATGATAGAACAATCAGTATATCTTTCTTCTAGCACATAGAAATATTTGTGGTCTAACAATATAAGGACATGAACCTTTGTTGCAGCACATCAAAGCCAAACATGTTTAGATTTCTGGGGAAGCATAAAAGTGCTGTTGATACATTTACATTTGTGCGCTGCTTTTAAGTCTCAGGATTTTTTGTATGCTATAGCCATACCTTCAATGAAAGTAGTTGATCTCTAAGCCTATTTCCCCTTCCAGCTCTTACCTTGTAAAGCCAGTGTTTTCTGACCGAGTAGGAAGTCTATTAATATTTGAACAGTTGACCATAAAGAAGTCAGTTCCTAAGAGAATTGTCAGAATAAATGAGAGCTGAGTAAGGCCTTGCCTCAGTCGAGCTGGTCAAAATGAAAAGGTCAAGTCAGAGAAGGCCTCATGTGGTGCACAGAAGTTAGACAGTAATTAAGTAGAGGCAGCTGAAAGATCTGGATCAAACTGATTTTCCTGAGCAGGGTTATCATATGCATGACTGAGCAAGTCTTCTACCTCAGATGATTCCTTTACCACTTTGCCTACTTCCCTGCAAAGGAATATAGCTTTTCCTGTGTCTCTTCTCTCCATTAAATGTCTGTGTAATGAACTCTTGTCCTTGAATATGTACAAAATTAATACAGGTCATCAGGAAAATTGTCATCCCTAAAGGTTAACACTAGGTTATACAAGAAAGGAAGATTTTATGTGGAAGTGAGTTTGTCAACCCTTTGTTCTATGTAGAACGTACATATAATTTTAATACCATTATATTGTCATGTATTTTAATCTACATAATATTAGTTTCATGTTCTTTTTTTTTTTTACTGCAGTGCTTCACATCACTTAACATTTCTGTTATAAGTAACAGAACTAAACATCGATGCAAATGTTCAGTTTGGCTTATGTTTATCTACTTTGACAATGCATTCCTTATCTCACCTCCCAGATGTGTTAAATTAGATTTTTTTTTTTTTAAAGCTATCATTGGTATGTCAGGAGTAGTGTAGCTGGGGGCACTGGAGGGGAATGCCTGGAGCAGCAGCCCCAGATGCTGCCTTTGAAGGGGTTGCAAAAGCAGATGTTGCCACAGCAGTGACTGCAGTCAGCACAAGAGCCAGCACTGCCCTGGGCCTGGGCACCACACAGCTTGCCTGGCGTGGAGTGGTACTGTTACAGATCTTCATGTTAGGTACTAGTTGGCTGGTCATAATACTAATACATGTTAGGTATTAGAACTGGGTAAAAAGTGGTAGAAAATTAACATAGTAACTAAGCCTTGTGATTCTGTCCATATGCAGTATTCCAATGCCAAATTTCAGCAACATTTTGATTTATGTTTTATACCAGTTGCATTGTTGATCAAAAACCAGAGCAAAGGTATCATGAAAGCTTTTATGCACTTTTATTTGTTGAAATCTGACATTCAAAAAAATATTTGCTTGAAAATGTGAATTATGAAAATGTCCAAACATTTAAAAAATATGAAATGTGTCTGTTCCCTTCTCTCCCTCTTTCTCTCTTCTAACTTCCTCCTGCATTTTTACTCATTCTCCTTGCATGTGTTTGGTTTTATGCTCTCCTTTAGATCACTGTGTTCCGTATGGGCTCCGAGGGACAGCAGGACATTGAGATGTCTATCTTAACTGCTCTGCTAAAAGGTAGCTTTACACAAGCACCAGGGAGGATACACACACTTTCTCCATATAAAATTCCACTTCCTCTGAGATACACTCTAAATGCCAAAGCTTCTGGCTGTCCTTATGAGTTCAGATAAGTAATCTTAAAAATGTTTGGTGTTTGGGTTCAGGTCAAATTAATGATATGCCAAGTAAGTATTTTCTCATAGCTTTTGCCTGAAGTTTTCACTTGGGCTGTACATGTCATTCTTCTGGGGTTTCAACATTGAACGCCAGTTCTGAGCAGTATGAAAATGAAAATAACAGCGAAGAGATTCACCACGTTTTTTTACCCTCAAGAGAAATGATTCAAGTATTGAAAGGCCTGACTGTTTCCCTCACCTTTGCTCTTGGGTTTGGCATTTTTTGCTGCAAAAACTGCTATAATAAAATTAATTATGGGGGTTGATACCTGTTCACTTAACAAGAGACCTTCAGTAAGGATGCATAGGGTGGGAAAGAAGATTGGAATTCCCACAAGCACGATAAAGGGACCAGATTATAATCTGTGGACAGGAAGGGAAATAGTAGTAAGGATAAATTCAGATGGGCTGGAAGGAAGAAAGAGCCTTTCAAAAGAACTAAGTCCCAGGAAACATCTAGATTTCTTGGTGTGGATTCCTTGCAGGAAGAAGGGATTTAATATGGAGTGGCGGCAGTCACTACAGCCTCTTACCCAAGTTTAGCTTAGTCCCTTAAACTTTCCAAAAAATAATACACAAAATTCAACATTATAAAATTAAACAATAATATAAAATCCCATCCCTGAGCCATGGAATCCATTTCCAATACCCCCCTAGTTATTGATTTTGACCTTTCATGTATGAAAGGTCATGAAAAAATGAAATGTAATGAAAAATGTAATGAAAAAAATAGGTGTAAAAGTAAAGTTTGGCTGCTTTGTGCACATCCTTTCATAGCATCTGGTGAAGTGAGCTTTAGCCCATGAAAATTTGCTAGATATAGACATCTCTACTTTGGTTAGCTAGAAGGTGCAAATCTACCCTGCCTTCTGCAATTTATGAATCAGATGGGTGATTCATTGGGAGGAAGGATTATATGGCAGTGGGAAATTGGCTGGATCTCCTCACTGCTTTCTGTACAAAGATTTAAAATAATTCAACTCTTACGAAGTCTGGAAATGAGTAATGTTGGCTTTGGCTGCTAACTACAGTACATCCTACTCTCCACCTTAACACTTCTATAATGTAGATTTTTTTTCTGAGTGGGGCCAGAACCTTTTGAGATTATTTTGTCATTTCTCATTTATAATGTTTGGGTTCAAGTATGACAAGCATCCTTTACAGTTTATACTTCATAATATTTGTTTAAGTAACATACACAGAAAGTAGTGCTGTACAACTAATGCTAACTGAAGCAGCCATGCTAACGCTCTTGCTAATACAAGCAAGGGACAAAAGTTCCTGGTGAACGGCAGAGAACACAGGAGAACTTTTAATCCTTGCAATTTTGAAAGGATTATTGGGTTAAATTTCAATAAAGCAGCAGAGTTCTTCCGATTTCAGTAGAACTACTTGCATCTTCACCAGTGATAGAACAGGTCTGTTGTTTTCTAATTGCTAGAAAATAAAATTACAGTGTTGTCCTGCCTCATTGTTTACATAAAGCATGAAATACCAACTTCTGGTTTCTGTTTCCTTAGGCACCAATGCATCTGCACCAGATCAGCTGAGCTTGGCATTGGCCTGGAACCGCGTAGACATTGCACGTAGCCAAATCTTTGTCTTTGGACATCACTGGCCGGTAAAACTGTTTTTCCCAGATGATTTAAATTGACTTTAACAATTTGGAGCAAGTACCAAAAGTCCCATTCTTGACAGTGACAGTTGTCAGGTTGAATTCTTTTGCTATATGTGTGTTGAGGTCTTATTGCAATATTGCAGGAGTATTGCCTGCTGCCTGCTTGTTATAGGCAGCACTGAAAATTCCAAACTGAATTAATAGGGCAAGATCATGACCACCAAAGAAGAGTGTTAATGAAAATCATGCCGTTATTATACAGGATAGTAGCAAATGAATCTAGGGACAGAGTTTTTCAAAAGTTCCTGAGGCTTTGAAATGGGACTTTTGTTTCCAACTCATTTACAATTTAATACTGCCCCTGCTGAAGTCAGGATAGAACTCTGAGTACTTCTGAAAATTGCACCCACTGGATTCATTCATGTAACTAAAAAAAAGTCTGTTTAAACCAGTTTTGTGGCTTGCCGCACTGATGCTTTTTGCTTTACTGCACCCACCAGCTGGTGTCAAATTGCTACAAAGTGTTCTGAGGAATAGGGATGAAAGATTAAATCAGTTAAAGAAGGTTTTGTTTTATTTTGTTTTGTTTTTTAATCAGATGTCTTTCCTGAAATTAAATATAGTACAATGGCATTCAGTAAACACTTTTCATAGACATTACATACTACGCTGAGCTTTACTTCCTTTAGAAACCTCAGCAGTTTGAACATTCCTGCACATGGTGTTTTATTTCTTCCTGCACAATAATGGGATGTTTCCAATACTCAAAGGCCATTAGCAGTGTTTTACAGAGTGTATTTAGAGATTCTAAACAATACAAAGTGTTATTACTATTGTTGTTGTTATTGGTGCTATTGTTACTATAATTATTACTACTACTATAATTATTAGTGCAGTTTGTTACAGAAAGGATTCCAATCTCCATATTATTGTGCTTATATTAAAAAAAAATACCAACTGGCATAGACGTCCTATTTCTCCTTTGTCCTACTTCATCCTCTTACTTGTCAACAAATAGTGAGCCAATTTTAGTTCATTAGCATTTCAACTATATGAATTCTTAATTTAGTATTTGATGGGAGATAGACACATTTTTGTCCTGTTTTGTGAGTGTTTTCATGGTAGAAGAATTTTATGGTGGGTGGGACAGAGCAAACTGCAGTACCTTTGAACAAAAGACACTAAATGTTATCCTAGCGTTCTCTGCACTGTGCACAAGTCACTTGTGGTCTAGCACTTGTGTGAGAAGAGATTACTTACAAGGGCAAACTGAAGGTCAGCCTTCCAAACTGGGGACAAGTAGATTCAACAATTCTTGTTGGAAGAGAGATAAATATAAACTTGATCTTCAGCATGAAAATCTTGCTTGATCTTCAGCATGAAACACTTCCCTCTTTGATCCTACCCCTGATACATGTGTTGTTTAATGGCCTTGAAGCACATACACTAACCTTGTTCCCTTGTCCTCACTCTGCTCATTGGTTTTTACTTTTCACTTTGGCAAACCACTGTTTGGCTAAAGGGGAAAAAGAAGGTAAAATGCCTGGACATACTCAACATCTTCCCAGATGTCGCAGTTGCTGTTGTTTGAAGTCTCAAACTAACCTGCCTACCATCAAACGTTGGTGTTGTCTCACTTTTAATGCTATTCCTTATCAGAAATGTTAAAAATCACACAACCAAGGCAATGGGAAGAATTATTTACACTGAGGGAATGAATCCCATAGCATTTTAAATGTATTGCAGGATTGTTGTGCCTCATGTTCAGGGGAAAAAAACCTGAGTAGGCAGAGAATTCACTGTATCCTAGGCATTATCTTTTCAACTATTTTCCTTTTGTAAGGGCTAATCTTTCAATATGCCAAGGCCCAGATACAGAATATAATTTTCTCCTGCTTGTATATTGTATTGCTCTTCTGGGTGGGCAACAGGAGCAGCAACAGAAATAGGAATCGGAGCACTCTGTACCGTTCTATTGCCTGTTTCAGCTAAAAGATATTCAAATGTGCTATCTATGGCAGTGCTTCAGCTACCTCTTGTGTTCCCCATAGGGAATAAATGGAGTGCCGCATAGAAAGTAGTGGTAGTATTTGCCATGACACATTCTGTCACTGTACTATATGGTCTCAATTTTTGTTCATTATTCAACATAGCCTTTAGGAAGCCTGGCAGCTACAGATGGCACAGCACTAGAGAAGGAGAAGAAATCCCCAGGAGCTCAAACTAAAGCACCCAGAGGGAAAGGCAAAGGGAAGAAAAAGGGAGGAAAAGCAAAAGAGGAGCCAGAAGAAGAAATGGATCCACGGAAGATTGAACTACTGAACTGGGTGAGATGAAAGTGGGATCTGCCTTTGAGTTGTTGCTCTTTGATCTTGTTTGTCTCCTTCCTGTGTCCCACCCATTTCATTTACACATTCATACACACTGCCTATTTTAAAGCCAAATTAGAGAGTAAATGCAGTACCAGCCCTTGAATACTCTTCAAGGTCCTGAAGGTAAAGAGAAAAGGCATTTGATCCCATGGAGGATGAATGGGATTAATTTTAGAGGAGGCACAAGTGTTATTCCTAGGTATTGGGAGTACTTCCAGTCATGAGAGCTCTTTTATGTACTAAATATATCTACTGAGAGTAGGCTTAGTGTAGGTGTTTGCACAAGCATTTCTATTCCAAGTAGTCATTTTCACTTGCTTGTAATGCTTATAACTTTTCCAGTCTCTTTCTCTGTCTGTCTTTTTGACAGGTTCATTTTCAGTTCATAGCTCATGAATTCTTTTGTTATATAATAGATTAGGTTCTGAATTGCAGCTGCAGATACAACCTGCTCACTTGCCCACTGTTTGCATCGCTTGTTTCCATGTTCTCTGTTCTGCACTTGCAGGTCAATTCTCTGGAGCAGGCTATGCTGGATGCACTAGTATTAGATCGAGTTGATTTTGTGAAACTCCTGATTGAAAATGGAGTGAACATGCAACGCTTTCTTACTATTCCTCGACTTGAAGAGCTTTATAATACTGTGAGTGAACTGTGATCATAAAAGGCACTGTAGCAAATTTTACTACGGTGTTTGTGTTTAAACATGGTACCTTTCCCTCTCTTCTCTTCAAGTAATTGCCAAAAACAGTCCATAAAAAGCTGGTAGCAGTGTCAGAACATGGAAGTAGGATAGTGCTAGAGGGAGCCCCTCTAATAACTCGTGGTTTGATAACAGTTTCAGACACATACAGTATTAGTTATGGCTAAGCTTGTTGCCATTTTTCAAGGCTCCTGCGGTTTTTCATGTATTTACAAAAGAATATTAAGAACCATCAGGGTTCTTTTTATTTCACTGTCAGGGTATTTTTATTTTGCCTTCCTCAGAAGTATTGGGCGTTGGCTGCAGCCAAGGTGGGGATCTTGACTTGGGTATGCAAGTGCTCCTGCTGAGACTTAAACCTGGATGTTCCTAGCCAGAGGGCCTTGCCCCTCCACGCAGGGGCAGGCTGACTGCTGTACTTGGGGTTAGGATAGAATTGTACCCATTGTCAGACTTGCGGGGTAGGGGAGGCGAGTTGCTGTCTTCTGTAGTTGAAGGCATTGGCTCTCTTCCTTGGACCTTTGAACATATTTTAACAACACTTGCAGCAGCAGCAGGACACTGGCTATTGTTGTTCTCCTGTCTTACCTGTGACAGGTTAGGTGTTATGCCTTGTGGTTGTGCCAGGGCTGACTGTTGTTTTACTAATAGGTTAGACAATGGATTTGGGATAATCCTGCCTCTGGGAGGGGATTGGACTAGATGACATCTAAAGGTCCCGTCTAGCCCCATTTTCCTGTAATTCGATAATTTTTTATTAAAATCATAATATTAGTCAATAAGTGTGGACTTTTCAGCTGCTTATTCTTTTCTTCTTTTCTTCATCACTGAATATAATAATAAAAAAGTGCTTCTGGAGGATCTCCCTCTCCCCCCTCCCATAGGCCACAAATCACATTATGTATGCTATTTTATGTAGAAGAAATTGAGGAATAGAGGCAAAGTGACTTTGCCCCACATCACCCAATGTTTTAGTGACAGAACCAGGATTGGAAACCAGGTCTTCCAAGGCTCAGTCCAGTGCTCTGTGCACTAGATCAGTGGTTCTCAGTGTTTTTTGCCAGGACCTTTTTTTACCAGGACCCATTTGTAAACATTGGCCAGCCCCAACCCAGTAAACAGTTTAAGTAAAATACAGCCCCCTGGCCCTGCTGGCGCGTCTCACTCCTGACCTTCTGCCCCCCACCCCTAGGCCCTAGCCCCTCAGTGTGTGGGGCCAGAGGGGTGGGACATGGGGCATGGGGGGGTCCTAAGCAGCCCCTTGCAAGCTGGAACTCTTTCATCTGTTCTTGCAGCCCACTTCTGGGTCGTGACCCACAGGTTGAGAAACACTGCATTAGACTACATTGCCTATCATAACATTGTATGCTATGGGATCAGCTTCTCCCTTGCATAAAGCCATGGACAGAATATTCCACTGGATTCTCTAGAGACATGAGCCTGGCAGAACTACTCATAGACCCCCTTTCCACCCACCCTGCTTTCTCTGGTATGAGCCCAGGAGTAAAATTTCTCAGCCAAGGTATTCCTGCACTGTGTAGGTTTCTTGATGCCTTTGTACCTCCTTGTATCTAGCATATATTAAAGCAAACAAAAGGCATCTGGGGATGGATCACAGTCCTGAGATCTGTAGAATGAGTGCAGCACAATTCCCTTTGTGTCTTTATAATTTTGAGCCAGGTGTGTGTCTGTCATTTTATCTACAGAAAAAAACCAGTATGCACATGTGTGCTGTTCTGCTGATAACCACATTGTAATCATTAATGATCCAAGATAACTGCACATATTTATTTCTAAGAAATATAAAGAATTAAAACCTTAACAGACTCTAAATGGTTTCTGTTTCAGAGGCTGGGTCCACCAAACACACTGCATTTGCTAGTCAGAGAAGTGAAAAAGGTATGTTGACAGTATTCAGAGATGCTGGGGTTTTGTTTAACTGAAGAAGCCTATGGGAACAGTTAGTATGACATAAGTGAAAAATAATGGCTTACTGTAGAGCCCAGCTGAAGCGGGGCTGAAGCAACTGTGGAGCCCCTCACCCCTGGGTCAGCAGGGACAGTGGCAATGGCAGGTATGGGAGGGGATGGAACATGGCATGAAGAGGAAAGGGGGCAGAGAAATTCCTACTTCATTTAGCAACTTAAAACAAATTTCTGACTGCTGCTCCCATGGCATCAACTGAAAGGTGGGTGAATGCACCACTGCACCCTCTCTGGATCTGCCCCTGATGTCAAAGGAATTTTACATACAACATTATAAGAGGAAAATGTTGCCTAATAAAACTACAGAATCTGAAATGTTAGAGGCAGCAAAGACCTATTAGATTATCCATCTGTCAGTGCAGGATTATTTCTTTCTTTTTTGTTTGTTTGTGTGTTTTTCAAATTCCTTTTACATGTCCCATGTAATGCCACTTTCACTCCTTTCTGCTCTTCAGTTTTCTGTTATCATCCATTATCACTGTAAGGTTTAATATTAAATTCACTATGTTTGGTGGGGGGTTGCACATATCTTTTTACAGCATAGAATGCCCAGTATTTCTACTGTAAGAAAACCTTCCATTGACTCCAGTAAGAGTTACCTGTGAAAGTCTTGCCACTTTGAGTTAATGTATAATTCATATTAAGCCATTTCATAATTTAAAGTCATATATCTTATTTTGTGTTATTTGCATTTTTCAGTGTTGCTAACTCTAACTCTTTTCTTATCTACCTGTTCACTTTGCTCCTCCTCTTCATTGTATTCCCATGGCTCACCCTCATTCAGCGACAGTCTCGGGGATTCGGTTGGGTTAAGATGGAGGTGATTTGCTCACCTAGAACTTAGCTCCTTCACCATAGTTATAGCTCTGTCATGTTGTAGACTAAATGTTACTGTTGTGTGCAAAAAGAATATTAACATAGTAAAACATAGTTTTCAGGTCATAGCTTTGGGAGGTTTAATATAACTGTCCAATCTTTAGCAATATGAAAACACAGGTTACACAACTACTTGTTTACTAAATGTGGACTGCAGATTAACCTAAATCTTCCTTTAAATAATGGGCTGGGACTTATAGATAACAATGCTGTGAAAGAATACTTATCTGTACAATGGAAGCTGCAGTAGATACAAACACCTTTCTAAAGAACAAGGTAGTTTTAGTAGCTATATTACCAGCATGATGTACCCTAGGTAAGTGCTATAATTAAAGACCAAAAATTAGAAAACATCTGACTTGCATGCATTAGAATTAACTCATAAAAATCCTAATTTAGTGCTGCAGTTTCATTTGTCATCAAAGACTTGATAATAAATCTGTTGAATTAAGTAAGAGTCTTTCCTTTAACTTGAGTCATGTCTGTCCTGCCTCTCTGCAGAGCCTGGGCCTAGCAACCAGGAAATAAAGCCACTCCAGTTCTGTGTGTGCCCAAGCCTGGCAGTTAAGCAGCATCTACAGCTTCTGTGCCTCTACTATTCTGGTCTGCACAGTAATCCCATCCTGTGATCACTGCTGAGAAATAAGCCCTGCCCATCTGCTCCTGCTCCATGCACATGCTGCATGTTGAAAAACCGAGTGGCTGCTGTCAGGAGCACTCCTGGAACTGAGCTCCTGAGAGCATCTCAGTACATGCACCAAAGCGTGTCCACACAACCCTTTCAGCATGTAGTATAAGCAGCATGGGACAGACTGAGTAGGACTTGTTTCTTAGCCGTGGCCTCTGTCTGGGTGGGGGCATTGTTAAGGGATACAGCCAGTTTTAATCTATCTCAGCCAAAATGAATTCTTGGAATGGATAAAATCTTAAAAACCCCGAAGGTGTTCAGAGTAGCTGGATTATCTAACCTCATAAAACATGGACATATTTGTGCTTTAAACATTCAGGTTTATTAATTCACCAAAAAGAACTTGGGGCCTTTTGTTGCCAGCCTGTACCACCTTTTTCAAATGAGCAATTCTGTTGACTACAGAAGAACTAATCATGAAAGCAAGGATTACTCTCATCACTAATGTTTTGTAGAAGCCAACTTCAAGACTATCGCAAAAACTTCATTTTTAATTATAAATTGTGTTAGATTAATTTTCTAACACCACAGACATAAAAGAAGGTTGGTTACTATCTATATACAATGTTCATACTAAAACTGAGTAAGCCATCTATTGAATGACAGAATGTTTATTGAACATACAACCTACAGTATGTGCATCAATCTTCAGCTACGTTAAGCATAGTGCAATACATTCATTTTATCAGAAACATATTAAAACTATAACGTGCTCAACCTCTTCCATGGCCTAAATAATATGCAGTGCATCAAGAAATGTGACTTGGACTGATTCTGACCTATTCAATACAAATAACTACAACTAAAATTCTATTTTTATATACCTGCATTTCCCCCATAGAGACATTTGTCCCTAAGTGAAAATATTCAATAGTTGGAAATAACAGTATTTAATAAAATCAAAATATTAGGAAGTAAAGGCCACTAGCTATAAAGGCTATTATGTATCAGTATAAACATGTAATAGTGTGTGTAACTAAGGCAACTCTATATATACCTTAGTATTGATTTGTATCCTAAAAAATCATTTTTATTCTTTTTTCTTTTTAGGGAAATCTTCCACCAGATTATCATATCAGTCTGATAGATATCGGTCTTGTACTTGAATACCTCATGGGTGGAGCTTACCGCTGCCACTACACTCGAAAAAGTTTCCGGACCCTTTACAATAACTTATTTGGACCAAAGAGGGTAAAAACAGCTTAATCCTGTGTTTCCCAAAATAACTAATTCTCCACGTCAGCTTTGGGAACTGCTATAAGTCCAATGCAAAACAGATGTTTCAGGATTTAACTTGATCTTCATTTGATAGCTTCTGAGGTTAACATGGGGATACTGCAAAATATCCAAGATGTAAGGTCCCAGGATGTGCTAAACATTCTGTACAGGTGGTTCACATTCAACTCCTCTTGGTTTCTAACTATTGTGTAATATATGCCATTCTCAGTCCTGAGTGCAAGCATGACCTCCTGGAGTTATTTTGACAGTAAAGGATAGTGGCAGAGGCACACCTGGGCACTTCTGTGCCATGGGCTGCAGTGTACGGGGTAGTATCAGTAGCTAGGCTGCCAGCAGTGATGGTTGGGCCAGCAATGCAGCAGCTGCTGCTTTTGCACCCCGCAACTCCATGCCCAGCTGCTGTTTTCATGCTCCCTGATCCCCACCCCAGCAACACTACTGGAAAGTTGCACTGAAAAAGCATAAGGAAAAACTTCAAGCTAATGATCAAGTAATTGTAAGAGTACATGGGTTCAAGCCAGAAAGACAAAGGAGACACCTTAAGAGAAAAAGAAATATATAAAAATTTATCACCAGTCCTGAAAAGAATTTTAAAAAGTCCTATCCCAGTAAAACCTCTTTCACCTATGTTAATATGCATATCATTTATTGATGGTGGCAGGCTCTGGCCTGCAACTATCATTGACCTTAAGGCTTGCTGCTATAAGCAACAGGATGGATGAATCAACTGGATGATGGATCCGCTTGAATTTATTTTAGGGCCTTTGATTTGAAAGTCAAATATATCTCTTTCATCTAATTACAAGAAAGCAATAATTTCAGCCAATGCATCTTTCCCTCGACATTGTTCAAGAATTGAATCGAAGAGAAAGAAGAGTCCTTTGTTGAAATATTTGGTTAAAAAAACAAAAGCCATTTAGTAGAACAAAACGTAATTTCTTACATTAAAAACAGCAGTAATATATTTGAGATCAGATTTAATCTTCATTATTTTCTGTGGGTAGTTTCACCCTTGATAATGTTATGAAATCTGAAACTTGATATTTGAAATTATCTTTGTAGTCATATGATGGGTTTATTTCTCATAGGTGCATCAAATTGTTCTTAAACTTTAGAATGGATCTTTTTGTATCTGAGTCAAAGGGGGAGGGTGTATGAGCAGCATGATGCGAAACTACTATTTTTCTAAATATATCATTACAATTATTAGCTTATATATGTAAATGAAAAAAATCCTTTTCTTTGATATTTTTATGTCTCTGTATTCCCTCCCATCTAACTAGATTTTCTTTTCTATTTTTAATATGCAGCCAAAAGCTCTTAAACTTTTAGGAATGGAGGTAAGTTGGATTTAGCATGGAACTAGAAAAACACCTTTCTACCTCATTCTTGGACTTCTCAGTTTTATGCTGGTTCAAAGTATGTTGTTTCTTGATGATATCATCTGTTTTACAAACTTCCTCTAATTATTCACCATCAGTATACTTACATTTAATAACTCAAGGGCTGCTTAGTGCAGCATTATGTAACACTACAGTCCATGCTGATATCTGGGATAGAGTTGACTTTTGACTTTTAAGAGACATTTAACCCGGGGAGGGTGATGGGAACACAAAAGTGACAGAGAAGAAAGAGAGGACTGTAATTTATGGTTAAATACCTCCTTGTTTCAACAGTAACGACTTATAAATGGAAGATTTGGCTATCTCATAGGCCCCTTACAGATGTTACATTGATGTGCATTACATTTATGGCATTTTAATGATGCCATAAATAGCAACATGCCACATATTCAATTTATCATACCATAAAATGGCAAAACAGCCACAAAGATATTCCATATACAATGTAGAATATCTGGTTTTCCTAAATTGAATGTGTGGCATGTCTCACCTGGGTCTGTCCCATCCTGATGCTGACAGTAGTCTTGGGCCCAAAGCCAACAGTGGGGTGCTGGGCACACAGGTTGTAAGGGAGTTCCCTGCTAGGAACTTAACTAGCTTTTTGCCTGGCACTTTAAGGAGACCCAGCATGTTTGCTGTTTTGTCCCACAACCCTCATGGGAAGCTACAAGACATGGCAGTCAATGTGCCAGACTGGACTGTGCCAGGCTGGGAGGCAGGGTTTACAGGGTTAAACTCCCTAGTAAACTGCTTTGGGAACCCTAATGGGAACCTTGCAAATTACATTTGAGTTGCAAGATTCCCATTAGAATAATGGCACAGTTGGGATGGATCCCTGTTTGGTATGGCAGCCTGCACAATTGTTGGGACTGGGAATACCTTTGCTCCATTTATTTTAATATCTCCCTTCATCCATGGAGGATAATATTTCACTAGAATGAAGAATGTAAAATGTGTGTAGTGTTAATGATTTAATTATCCCCTTCTATTTTAAAATAAAATTGATTATTTCAAAGCACATCAGCTCTGCAGTTAGTAAATATGAGAGGAGATGGGCCTGAGCCACAGCTGCAAGTCCGACCCTAGCCCCCATTCCCAAGAACTTTGGGGAAGTTTTAGAGTGGGAAACTCCTGCTCCCATATGCCCAAACCAGAACCCTAATGCTGATTCCATCAACCCTTGAGAAAGCTCAGTGTCTGATCTGAAAGCAGAGCCAATATTTCTGATGCATGCCTTAAAACATTCTAGTTAGATACTGATAAATGAAAAAGATAGAAACTTCTGTATATGTAGTATATAAGTGGCAACTATCTCTTCCAATATTATTAATGACCATTGGAATTTCTGTAAAAGAAACAGCTAGCTAATTCTCCCTTCAATTCCAAAACTTATTGGTGAAGAGAGAATCCTACTCAGAAAACATGGATTCAAAGGCTTAATATAAATATAGCATTGTGTGGACTCATATCCCCACCAAAACTGATTAAACTGGACATCCCTATGTGCACAAGAGCTGATTTTATAAAATGGTTATTGCCTTTGCTCATCATCCTTGATATGGGACTCAAATCCTAAAAATGATCAAAAGATCTATCTACATTTATCTCTATATACTGTATGAAATGTTATTTCCTACGTAGCTTAAACCCTAATTTTCCCAATCATGCCTTTTCTCCCTTTAGGATCCTGCTTCATTGTCAATACCTCCCTTCAATTTCTTCCATGTTGGTTCCTGTAGTAATGGCCTATCCTCCTTATCCCTTTAAGAAATGGGATAGTTATACCTTCAGTATGTACCACATACATAAGAGGACATTGCTTATTCAAAGGTGAACATTCCCTTTAGTATCTTAACTGTTCTTAAGGACTCTGTCTACCTGACTTCTTTTTTTTCTGTTTACCCCTTTCCATCTGCATGTCAGTTTAAAACTTGCTTTGATGCTTGTAAGATTAGGAGCCTTGTTCTTTAGGAATAGATGCAGACACATCAAATCTGAAATTAGAGTGGAACTCATGTTCAGTGAAGCTCCATTGACAATGAAATGGAATAAACCTCCTGGTTTCTTTCAACTCCTTGCAAAGCAACCAGGGCAGTAACACACCTTCCACTTTTAATGTAGCTGTTCTATGCAGAAATGACTTCAGTATATGAAGCTTTGTATTGCTCAAACACTGGTGACTTGTAGTTAAGTATGCCAGTAATCATTCAGCCTATAACATGTGAACTCAGGCATGCTAGTGCATGACCTGTTAATAAGCTATTTTTATTAAGTTGTTACCAGCATTCCTTGTAGTAAATAACAGGAATAAAGCAGAAAATCAATGACAGAATATGATGAAGGTCTGAAGATCTTTTCTGAATGGGATATTCACATTTTTCTCTGGAAAATAAAATGTGGAGAAGAGATGCTAGTAGTCAGCTCAACACTTGTTCTGGTGTATATGATAAATGTCACAATAACTTTTAAAAAGTCAGTGGCAAGAGTTATTGTTTTTTTGCTTTCCCTTAGGATGATGAACCTCCATCCAAAGGGAAGAAGAAAAAGAAGAAAAAGGAGGAAGAGATAGATATTGATGTGGATGACCCAGAAGTCAGCCGCTTTCAGTACCCTTTCCATGAGCTCATGATATGGGCAGTGCTGATGAAACGGCAAAAGATGGCTCTCTTCCTTTGGCAACGAGGAGAGGAAACCATGGCCAAGGCACTGGTGGCATGCAAACTGTACAAATCCATGGCCCATGAGTCTTCAGAGAGTGAGCTGGTGGATGATATCTCTCAAGATCTAGACAATAACTCCAAGTTAGTAAACTGGAGCACTGTATATGCTTAATTGTGTGGGTGAACTGCTCCAAAGGTATTTGTTCAAGTAACTGCAAATAGTATTTTAAATGGTGATCTACAGGTTGATATCAAGGCTATTTAATATTTGATAACCTAACAAAAATTTTGATTTTGGGTTCTGAACACTGTATACAGTTCATACTCCCTCTGCTTCTTTAGAAAATTGACTGAATCTGTCTGTCTCAGTTGCCTTCATTATAAAACAAGACTAGCTTACCTCACAATGTTATTTTAAGGATGTACCTGAACTGGAGAGGGTTTAAAGATTTTAAAGTATTATTATTGCATACAGTCTCGAAAGGTTCGTGGAAGAAGCTGCCATGTTTGAAAAAAATGTCCTAGGGGGATGAAAATTATATTAGGCTTCCTTTTTACTAGGTTCTCCCCTTATTGCCTTTTTAATTATGATGATTTTTTTTATTTAAAAAAAATGTAAAAGGAAATAAAGCATTATTATAACTGCTGTTTTGATGTTAGAAGTTGACAAAACCTGACACAACATCTATAATGCCTTTAATCAAAAGATCAAAAATGTTTTACAATTCTATTTCAAAGCAATAGCTGTTCACTTATATATCTTATTCTGTATCTGTATAGAGCTTTTAAATATTACCACAAATCAAGATTGAGGTCCAATGGTGGTGTATGTTGCACAAACATGTAGGAAGACATAGTCTTTACCCAAGATTTTACAATTTAAGGCAATACTAAATTTCTAAATTCAAGTTAATCAAATTCTCTTTGCCTGTCTTCATTTTTCCAGAGACTTTGGCCAACTGGCAGTTGAGTTGTTAGATCAGTCCTACAAACATGATGAACAAATTGCCATGAAATTACTGACCTATGAACTGAAAAACTGGAGTAACTCCACCTGTCTAAAACTTGCTGTAGCAGCTAAGCACAGGGACTTTATTGCTCATACTTGCAGCCAGATGCTGTTAACAGATATGTGGATGGGGCGGCTACGCATGCGGAAAAACCCAGGCCTTAAGGTATTTTCTCTACACAAATGCTGCCGAAAGTACAGATGAAGCCCATAACAGTGTGTCACTTATAGTGCACTTATACCTAGCAAGCTGAATTGTTATATAAATAAGGTACTTCAATATATGTTTTAAATCTGATGATGCGCCATGTAACAACAACAAAAGCTGTTTAATGCAATTAGATACCTCTGCCATGAAGATTACTTTATTGCATACCAGGTTAAAAGAACATTTATCATTCTTAGGTTGTCTACTGCTTAGAGACACCAGATAATGAAGGGTAAGAGAGAGAATGAGCTGCATGTAACATGTTGTTAACATTGCTTAATGGACTACTGGTGCTCCAATACTATCATGAGGAGGGTGGCAGGAGAATATAGTTTGTTTAATATAGAATAATGGAAGAGAGATATGTGTTTTCCTCTCTTTGTGCTTTGGGGGTTTGAATCATTGTACAGTTGACTTCTCTGACACTCCTTGAATAGGAATTAGAAGAATTATTATTTGAGGGTCATTTCAAGAAGGGAATAATTTGCTAGACATAAATAATGTCAAGAGAGACAGCATCTGGAGGGGTTTAGAGGTATTTGTAACCTGGAGGAAAAACAAGCAGGAAGGAGCTACAGGGGAAGTGCTCTCATACTTCCTGAGAAATCAGGGCAATCAACTAGTACCGCAGGTGCCTGCGCACGGATGCACAGAGTCTAGGAAAAAAGCAGAACGAATTGGAAGTCCTTGCAAAGTCAGTGAATTATGACATGATTGGAATAACAGAGACTTGGTGGGATAGCTCACATGTCTGGAGCACTGTCATGGATGGGTACAAACTGTTCAGGAAGGACACACAGGGGAGAAGAGGAGGAGTTGCACTTTATGTAAAAGAGCAATATGATTACTCAGAACTCCAGTATGAAACTGGAGATCGGCTTGTGGAAAGTCTCTGACTTAAGGCCAGAAGAGAGAGCAGCAAGGGTGATGCCATGGTGGGAGTCTGCTATAGACCACCAGACCAGGGAAAGTGGTGGATGAGGTTTTCTTCAAACAGCTAGTGGAAGTTTCCCATTCACAGGTGCTGGTTCTCATGGGGGACTTGAATCACCCTGACATCTGCTGGGAGGGCAATACAGCAGTATGTGGGATATCCAGGAAGTTTTTGGAGAGTGTTGGGACAACTTCCTGGTGCAAGTGCTGGAGTGGCCAACTAGGGACCATGCTCTTCTTGACCTGCTACTCACAAATGGGATTGGTGGGGAATGCACTAGTAGATGGCCACCTGGGCAGCAGCAACCACAAGATGATTGAGTTCAGGATCCTGAGGAAAGGAAGGATGGAGAGCAGCAGAGTAAGGACCCTGAACTTCAGAAAGGCAGACTTTGACAATGACTTGCTTAGGGAACTCATGGGCAGGATCCCCTGGGAAACTAGTCTGAGGGGGAGAGGAGTCCAGGAGAGCTGGCTGTGCTTAGAGCGCAGGAACAAACCATCCCAATCTGCAAGAAGAATAGCAAGTATGGCAGAGGACCAGCTTGGCTTAGAGTGCCCTGGCACACCAGTTGGGAAATACTGTTCTAAATTCATGTTTTTCTGGGCCCTGAGTTTAGTTCATTGTTTGTCATATAGTGTAATAACTGCCTTCCATACCTAAGTAATAAGCTGGTCACATTTCCAGCCATATCTTTTTCAAAATCCAGCTATTATTTCCTGTTTCTCCCACCACAAACCTTGTTCATCCTCTCTGTCCTTGAGCACTCTTTGTTATCTCTTTTTCACTTGCCTACATTTTTCCCACTGAAACCTGCTCAGTCTTATGGCTGATCCTTCCCACCCTGCCCCTCTTAAAATCCTATTACTGGCTTTCTTCCCTTTTTCTCGTACGGTACAGCCTTCTCCTGACCTTCTAGTTCTCTCCTCTTTACTTGCATGTCCCTCCTTTCTTATTTTCATTACATTCCTTCACTGTTCTTTTCAGCAGCTTCTCCACCTTTGGTTTAGGTGCCTCTTACCATGCACTTTCCTGCTCTTAGAATGCCCTCCCATTAGCTCTTAGCCAAGCTTCCATACTTTTAAAGCTCTTCTGATAATTCTCCATTTTACATGATAATGTAATGGCTATACTTTGGAAAGCTTTCCCTCTCACCTTCCCACCACTGAGTTGTTCACATAATTCAATTAAATTCCCATTCTTGCAGCATTTTTACCTCCAGATCCATCTCACTGCATTGTATCTACAGAGATGGTTAAACTTCCAGAGCAGCATCTATTCAGGCTGCTGTGTATATTGATTCTGCTTTGTGAATCCTAATTATTTCAACTCCTTTTTATATGGATAAGTATTTTAAACAGTCTACAGAGAGTTACTGTTACAAAGAAAAATACTCTCATTAAAAATATCTAAAGATCTCTTGTAATTTATGCATGGATTTGACATCTCTCTTCTTGCACAGGTGATCATGGGAATTCTCTTCCCACCTACCATCCTGTTTCTAGAGTTTCGCAGCTATGATGATTTTTCTTATCAGACATCAAGAGAAAATGAAGACAACAAAGAAAAGGAGGAGGAGAATGTGGTGAGTATTGTACCTTACTGGAATTTTGAAATGCTATTAATGTTATGCTATTAACCACTCAAATGGAAATAGGCATATTTTTGTAACACTTGCCAATGTAGGATCCAAATCACTGTGTATCAGTTTTAAGGGTATGTGGGACAAATTATCTGCCTATGCAAGTCAATATATCTATACAGAGGTCAGTGGAGCAATACACCAGCTCAGAACTTAGCTTAGTATTTTTTGAAAATGCGGTGGAACTAGATAGAAAATAAAATCATGCTATTCAGAAGGAAGGATCTTGTATCTGCCAATGAATTGGGAATTGTAGCTGAAAGCTACTCCTATAGGTGATGACAAGATGTCAGCTTTTGTTTTCTAGGATGCAAATGCTGACACAGGCTCCCGAAAGGGAGATGAAGAGAATGGAAACAAAAAGCAAAGAAGCCTTCCAATTGGAAAAAAGATCTATGAATTCTATAATGCACCTATTGTTAAGTTCTGGTTTTACACGGTGAGTATGGCATCTTGGCTCTTATTACATTCAAATATAAAACCAGGAAAAATACTGCTGACTTCCAAGAAATTTCCAACCACAGTTTGTGCATGAGTGATTTTATTAGTAAAGAAATAAGTGCATGCAGATACAGAAAGATACAGTGCGCACACTACTGCATTGTATGAAAAGTTCCTGAAGAATATCACTTTAAAGAAAGTGCAGCATTAAATAGCAAGGACACCCCTTATGTGTTTAGTCAGAAGGTAAAACCAATACAGATTCCACAGAACTCCACACATTAGTCTTTCTTGATCCCAGCCCATTGGTCAATGCTTTTGTTCATTTCTCAAGGGCTCTGGGCTCTGTTTCTTCCCTTGCTTTCAGTGATTATATATTGATATACATCCAGTGACTTCAGAAGAACTGCAGTGAGATCCACATTCAAGTCCTCTGCATCTCAAAAGGCAAATCTGGCAAGAATCAGTTTGACCTAAGACAAAGTGACTTACAATTTGTAGTAGAGTATGTATCCTAATTCTATTTTATAGACCAGATTAAAGCTGAGGTCACATTAATATACGTGCTCTCTGTTTCGTTGTATAGTATTTATGCTCTTGCATACACAAGCCAGACTTATATGCACAGATCACCACAAAATTATCCACATATGCTGCTAAACTTTTCTCTGTACTTGCTGTAAACAAAATCTAAATTAACAGTAACAATACTGAAATCATTTATCATTCTATAGTAGTCACAGAAACGCATATCAAGAAAAGTAAGTCTGATGTTAGATTTTCTGTAATGAAGCAAAGGAAGTGTGTGTGTTACTGACAAAATTCCCACGTAGCCAGCAGAAAGAATGTAGAGTTCTTTTAAAAGTAGGATATGAAAATTAACAAATATTAATTCTTATGTTTCAGGTTGTACTGTATTAAAAGCCAAGATAGTTACATTCATGTTGTTATGCTGATTTAAAAACAAAATTCCAATTTAATTTTGAAGAAAAATACTCAATATAGTTTACCTGAGGTTTTTAAAAAATACATTTAATTGAATAAAAAGCCACAAGCAGTAATCCAAAGCCCATCAGAATGAATAGGAGTTTTTTTAATAACTTCAGCAAGCTTTGGGTGAGGCTCTTATAAGCAGATCTCAAATTCATCACTCCAGTTGCCCGAGCTGAGTAGCCTGAGCCAACGTGCCAGGCAGGGGCACTGCTCTCTCTTTCAGAGAAGAAAAAACTCCATCCCAGCTAAGTTTTGGCCTTCAGGATTTAAACCCAGTCAGGGAAAAGAGGACAATTGAAATGCTGGCATTTCTAGAAAACCATCAGAACTGCAGCTGCCTCAAGCAACCCTGCCAGAACTGTTTCCATAGCCTTGCTTGCAAAGCAGCCACAGCCGTACAGCAATGTTTCAAGTTAATGAAGCCTATTGAATATTAATGTTAATTTTTTAAAATGGAAAACAGTTTGAAATATGCCTTAAGGAACCGGTATAAACAATATGCACTTTGGCTTATACATCTTGTGCCCGTCTAGTCTTGAACATGCGGTCACACATCGCGCGGCCCCAGATGTTCAGGAGTGTTCGTCTGTCTGTCCCTGCTGTCTCGCCAAGTGGATGTCTCTCTTCCGAGTAGCCTTTCCCCAATCTCGCCTGCCATGACTTTGGATCTTGTTCTAATGGTGGGTGTCCAACTGTCGGGGTCTCTCGATTATGGGACAGCTGTATGGCGATCTTCTGCGAGGCTCCACCTCCCCTCTACCTCGCCCTTACACCCTGCCTTGACAGGTTCACAGTGTTCTTCAGCCAGTTTCCCCGACTGTTTGGGCTCTGCATATGCTTGCTGAGATGGATATCAGCCTGCGAGGCCTAACCTCTGCCTTCCCTCCCAGGGGACAGTACCCCCTTCTAGGCCTAAGCAACACTTGGGCTCTAGATGCCTTGCACCACAACCCCTCCAAAAGTGGGAAACAAAAAAAATAGGAAGATATGCAAAGGTGGGGGAGGGGGGCAGCATGCACCACTCAAAACCAGAGCCTGGCTGGCCAGAGCCACACTCTGGCTGCAGGCCAGGCTTCAAATGACAGGTTCACCACTGCTGCAGCCCCAGGAGGCCCCCAGGACCCCAGGTAAGGCTGCTTGAGCCAGCCCAGTGCTGGCCCCAGCCTCCCCTACCCCACCCGGGGTAACTTGCTGCGTGCCAGAGGGCATGTGACACAGGCCTTCCCTGGGGACAACTAGCAATGGCACAAGGTGTCCTGCTACTAGTTGTTTCCGGGGAACCAAACATCCACATTCACGGATGCAGCCACTATATTTCCTGTTAGCATGCCCTTTCCCCAAACTGCTACTTCCTGAATATATCCCTGCCCCTCATTCTCTAAACAATAGTTTTAAAAATTTAGTGTTTGTTTGATCTTATCATTTGGCTTTAAAAGAATAACATTTTCAGCAGGCTAAGGCAAGCTGGTAGGCCAGCTGTTTCAGTCCATACCTTGCTGACTGTTTTGCAAGGACTCTTGTTATCTTCCCTGGTGATACCTTACTTCTATCATCATTTCATTTCCTGTTTGCTTCCCCCAATAGCCTCTTTTGATTAACTTCAGGTATTCAGGAAAAGGAATATCAGGAAGGTAAACAGAGGTATATACAATGTCCAAGGGTAGTGCTGTGCCGGTCACTTCCCTCCGTGCTGATGCCTCCGCCCCTCTTGGTAAAGGACCGTCCCCGAGGTGTTCCTCCTCCCTTGGCTCGTTTGTGGGCTGGTTTCCTCCGAACCGCCTGCCACGACTTTGATGATCTACTGGTTCAGTGATATAAATCCGGGGGCGTACCAGTCCACAAATGAGACTCCGATCCCTCAGGGGTCCCACGCTGTCGAGGGCTCCGCCGCCCCTACACCCTCGCCCGTACCTCCAAATCTCTCGGCCACCTGCGTCCCTCTCGTCGCCAAGGGCACGTCCGAGGTGCAGAAATCAAAGAGAAAACAAACAACTGAATGCTCCCAGCCAGGGATTCCCGGAGCCCGAAGGTTATCTGTCCCTTTTACCGGCTTCTCCAGTCTTTCCCTGTCCGGCGTGGGGTTACCTCCCCCAGTTCCGGCTGTACTCACCGCCAGATCTGGTCCTGGGCTTGCACAGTCCCCGAGCCCCTCTCAGACACGGCTATCTCGCTGTCTTTGCTGCGAGTGCCCCTCTATTCAAAAGAATATGGCTTGCCGGCTCTCCCTGAGCCAAGCCGTTCTCCGCGCCATCCGTATCCGTGGTGTGGCCGCTGCTCCTCAGCTCCCGGGTCCCGTTGGGGTTTCCCCCGGCCCCAGAAGGTCCTCCCGCGCCGGCCGGCTGTCTCTCCCCATGCACGGGTGCTCCCAACGGCTCCCTCTTCGTCGCCGCCGCCTTCCGGGTTCCCCCTGCCAGCTGCCTCCGGCGTCCCTTTAATAGGGACCGGAACTGCCTCGAGGCTTCTTCCCCGGCCGCACCTGTGGAGCGTGAGGGTGCCCGGCTGGGCAATTTGGGCCGGGGGGCGTAACCCGGATGGGTTATTTCCGGGTGGTG